GCTGGGATTACACCATCCAACAGCTTGCAAGGCTGATGAATTGACCGCCACTATTTTTAGCCTGGTATCCACCACACAGCTGTTTGAAGTGACTTTTTCTGGCCAGTGAATCCCTATTTTTCATTTTTCCATTTTTTTCTTTTTTTCTTTTTTTCTTTTTCTACACACACACCACACCACATACTCCGGCATACACTGGCTGTTGGTAACCACCCAGGAGAATGAAAGAAAAGTCAGGAAGAGTCTGAGAAAGAGAAGAAAGACGTGTGTGACCATAATCGTCGGGAATCGAACCCGCAACCTATCGATTGGAAATCGCTGCACATACCACTGCACCATATGGGACACACTCACACACACACACACACACACACACACACACACACACACACACACACACACACACACACACAAATAGGCAGCGGGACTACCAGCTAGATTCACGTGACCTTGCGGACAAAGTTACGGAAGTAGAACTAGTTTTCATGACGACACTTGGACACAAGTACTTCTGTATTATTATTTTATCTCTTTTCAACCAATCCACAAGCCAAGAAGAGATGCGTAGACGGAAGAACCGTACTCTTGGTGATACTGACCGCAAACATGATTAATTCCTCCAGGCCATTGAGCACCCAATTCTAAACCTTATCTAAGCAACGCAGCATGCCAGTTCAAGAACATCTCGTCAGACATACATATCGATACATGTCTGGTGCACTCTCACTAACAAGCAGGCATCGCAGGCTACATTCGCACCAGCAATCAAAAGAAGTTGAAGTGAGTGAATATTTCCATAAAATTAATAATTGGAAGACAAATGAAGGTGTGGAGGATCGCCCAAAAACACTGACAAGGAGACAGTAAACGGTACACAGTACTCGTATGCATGTACAGTTGCGCTCGGTGAAATCCGGCCCGAAGTGCAAAGCCGGCGCCGCAAAGCCAGCTCCCATTACATCACTGGCGATTTGTGTGTATGAACTCAACTGTACGCACCTCGTGTAAAAGTTCGGAGTGCACGTGTTGCATGCTAAAAACAGTTCAAAATATATTATTTCTTTCATTCACTTCACTCAAGCACAGCAGGATCTTCTTGATATATCGATAGCGGAGTACCCAACATCCTGTTTCAACCTCCCTGCTCGCCGGACATGAATCCAATGGAGAATGTGTGCACTCTTCTCAAGAAGAGAATAATTCCACATTGCTGCGAGAATGCTGACCAGCTGGTGCAGGCACTGCAACTGGAGTGGGACTCTTTGGGTCCTGACACGGTTTCCCCATACGTGGAGTCAATGTCACGTCGTGTTGAAGCCCTAATCGAAGCTGACGGTGGCCACACAAAATATTGAAGCCCTGCTGTTCTGTGTATGAAATAAACTGCTTCGAAACGATCTCCGTCTTCTTTACTTGTGCTGAACTGAAATGAATGTTACACTTGTCTTTGTTTGGCGCGGTTGTTTACACTTTGGTGTAAGCGTGCATGCGTATTAGTACAGCACATGCCCAGTTCATACGGCACACGCGCACACTACAATAGCATAGCACTTGACAGTCTTGTACAACTACTTGAGGGCGTCAAGGGCCGCATCAGTACTGGGCGCCAGTTATGCACTTCGGGCCGGATTTCACCGAGCGCAACTGTACTTATACACGTTATAGCAGCACAACGATAAAGACCATGGTGCATGATGATTAATGTTGCATCAATAAATTTTACAGAGTTATTTTGGGAGTAGAAATGAAGATGTGTTCGAAGCAGTAAACTGCGTAAGCACTACGTTGAGCCAGAATATTGAAATACAGTTTCCTGCAGTCAAAACAAGACACTCACACTTCTCTGGTCTAGTTCGCCATTCTTATCGATAAACTTGACTTGATTTAATTTCTTACGATGGTTCTTGAGAATGGATCAATGATGTCTTGAATAGATGTCTTCCTGAACGACTTCAACTGAGAGGCAGTTTCAGTTTCAACAAGCTGGACATTGTTTTTCTGTGGAGTCTTCCACAAGAAAGACAGAGCTACACACACGAAAGTGCTTGATGTACTCAGTACCTTCTTGGAAATGAACATATTTTCATTTCCATCTTCATTATATTTTCGTCTCTGCATCGTCGACGATGTCCACTTCTGACTCCGTAATCTTGTCACCCATCCTCTCCAAAAACACAAATCGAGTGCTGCTTGCATGCTGGATCAGTTGAAGTCAGTCTCTGCTCTAGCAAGATCGGCATGCAAAAATTACATGACTGAAAATATTCCGAAATAGATTTTCTGAACGACGAAGTTTGTTCTTCAAATATGATGAATAGCACAACCTACTAGCCAGAACGTCCTCTCAAAAGAGATTCTATCTGAAGCCTGCAAGATTTTCGACCACCCTTCGTTTTGGAGAGGAGCCCACACACACCAGACTCGAGCTACAAGTAAACTACGCGGAGATCGAGAGTTGATCGAAATCTTTCTTGCTCACTTGTGAAACCTGTGAAGGAAAAAAAAGTACGCGTGAATGCCTACAGTTGAGTCGTAATATTTTGACGTGGATCCTGTGACCGTTCACAGAGAAAGTCGCGGCTGTTTCTGACTGGTCATCGGGATTCAAACTGGTGTGTGACTTTATGACTGCTCTTCGGGGATTTGTGACTGTTTGATTGGTCACGGGGATCGTGATCGGTCATCGAGACGTGACTGCTCACTGAGTCCTACATATATTCACCATCACATCCCTCCCAAACACACACACACGCACACAAACTCACACGTACACTGAACACCTTCATGCCGCCCACTGGGTGACCCAGACACCATACATTAACAGTGACACTCATCCATACATGCACATGATGCCTGCTCACATTCACGCTGACGGAGTAGTCACATAGCTACAAAACTAATGTACGAGCATGATTGCAGAGCACATCTCTACCATGCCATATTTGGGCGTCTGTGCATGTGTGTATGCTTGTGGCGTTGTGGGTGTGTTTGTGTGGGTGTTTGTTTGTTTGTGTTTGCATAATTATTTATCCGTGTAGGTGCGTGGTGAAGCATGTGCATGCATGTGCCACTGTGTGCGTGCGTAGTTGAGTGTGCAGTGAGTATAGGTGAATGTGTGGTGTGCATTAAAAAAATAAATTCGACGGGATTCGCGTACCGGGCAGGTCTAGAACAAGGAGTCTTACGCTTCCCTGGTCAAGAACCACCTTTCCGCTTCCGTGGGACGCCAACACCCCATGATCAGGCGTCAGATGCGGCTCCTAAACGGTGGGGGAGGATAGATCAGATCCACCAACCAGAGGCCAAAGGCCTCGATCCCATTTGCCACATCCATGTATTACTCATGCCAGGCCACGAGTTCCCAATTAAAGGGGAACTACACCCAAAAATCAAAACTTCATGGTCCGTAGAGTTTTGGACGCTGAGTCGAATGGTGAAGGTCCCACTTCGATCCGATCAAGCGTTCCTGAGATATCTTCGGTTTAAATTGTACTTCCGGGGGACGCGCCATGACGTCATGCGGCCGCGACACACCCCCAACACGCCCTTCTACGTCATTGAGACTCGCTTGCTTGGGCCAAGCTCAGAAGTACAGGTATTTTGGTATGTGAAAGGAATGGGGCTGTTAAGTGTGACGTCACGGCCCCTTCGATACGCATAGCAACGGAGAGCACTGGGGACAAACAAAAGTCGCGTCCTCTGGATGGAACCAGTTGTGAAGGGCAACAGCATCTAAATGACTGGAGAGAGAGTAGTTTTTCTTTGCTTTTTCGCCAAACGATTGTTGTCGCTCTTTACTCCTTGTTCTTTCCTCTACAAATCTCCTGTAGTCGTCGAGGGCCTTCATAATGGCTGTGAAATTGGCTGCCCACTGTAAAACTCCCTGTTTGAGAGTGCTTTGAAGATTCTTCGCCTCCTGATGGATCAAAGTACGAGCGCTCCCTGTGGATTCGATTATATGAAGGTGAGTTGTTCAAGAAATCAGTGTCTTCTTTCTGTCTCTGCCCTCACGCTGGCACAATATCAGCCTCGATATCCATGACAGCCCGCACCTAAGTACCTCTCGTAGACTGCCCTGACTTAGCTGTATTCTCGCCCTCCGTGGTGATTGAAGACCCATGGAAGAAGTTGTTCAGAATGATGTCCTGAGAATATAAAATAAAATAATTCCAGGGAATTGTTACAGGGTATTTTGGAAGGATGGAGAGAGAGAGAGAGAGAGAGAGCACTGTTTTGAAGTGTTTGTCTCACTGTAATTACTCCAGATTATTGAATGGTGTATGATCTACTCGATATTTTCCGCAATGGTTTTTCCTGATTTGCGGGATCTCTTCTTTTGCTGTTTGCGTGTTTACAGGAATTGACTGTCTGGTGTATCTGCACCAGATCCTGGGGAAGTGAAGTCAGATGCAGAGGCAGGGTCGTCCAGTGATGCAACACTGCCGTTCTATGTGCAACGTCACCGCTAATTCCCCCGGCGAAAACACAAACACGTGAAGAGACTACAGTATTGACCGTTCTGGTAATGAATCGTGACTGATCGGACAGTCGATAATCGAAACACAGAGCACCAGCATGATGTTTTCATATTGGGAACCACACACCAGCTCAATTCTCAAGCCCAAAAATTGATTAATACAAAACACAGAGCGACGCAACAAGAGATCATCCGGAAACCAAACCAACCTGGGTCTGATGCACTGAATAGTCCTGAAATACGCAGGCCACACAAAGCAGTGCAAGCACAGACTGTTACAAGGTACATGCATTGCAGAACAAAGTGTAACCAAAGATACACAGGGTTATAGCTGCACACTCGTGCATGTGCTCGCTCAGCCCAAGAACACGCAGGATGATAGAAATAATCCGGGGGAAACACGCTAATGTCATGACCGGGGAGTGGGCCAGACATACTCTCAGGATTCTATAATTCCAGGTTCTTTACGGAAATATACCAGGAGTCCAGATACCCATTCCTCACCCTCACCACACAAGAAGACCAAAGCTTCACTCTAGGACCAAGCTCAAACAACAGAGAAGCAACAAGAACAACAACCAGCGATCGATGCAAAGCATCGAGCTATATACTACAAGACCTAGTAGCGTGCACGGCGCGGAGCGAGCGAGTAGCCAGCAAAGCAAGAATAGTGATAGGTTTCACAACACTATTGATCGACAAGACACATCGCCGCCACGGCAAACACTTCATAAAGACACATGTATAAGCAGACGGAATACAATACAGATAATGACATTGTAGCAACACACGGACACGACACTAGCACCGAAGTAAGCATCAAGACGTAAATAGTGCAGCTCTGAAAAAGTAAAAACTACATTGACATGTACATTGGTGTGCCGAGTAGTATCATCCTTGATCACCCATCCAACCAAGACGTTATCAGGTCCCAGACGCCGAGATCCCACGCCGAATGTGAAGTGCATCTAGCCTTGAACCTGTTGCACAAGGCACACACATATGACAAAAAATGACATCCACTCCGATTATTTCCAGAGGCCAATCATAACAGAACACAGAAATGAAACCACGGACTCAACAAAGTAAACGCAAAGGAAATTAGTTAAAATAATCCATGAAGTACTATGTTAATTCCAGCGCTGACTGCAGTGTGGCGTCATGGCCCGATACCCGCGGAGCATAGACACAAACTCCATTTGACAGGGGCACGACATACTATTTTGGAATAAAGTCACAGGGGCGTAGCACCCGCTACGACTGGTACTATCATGGCCGCACCACTTTTCGAAAAGTGTGGTCCGTCTGGAACGTGCAAAACCGTAATAAAAAATCAGGATCCGGCGATATTTGCATATGCGCATCAGACCTTTTCTAGACTCGTACTCGTAGATCTGTTATGCATCTGCAGTCGTACTGAGTACTGTACTCGACTCTACTGCACACTGCGCCAGAAGTGTGCCAGAAGTTCCCAGAACGCAGGATTTTGTGTCTTTTACAAAATTTCCCGGGGGGGGGGGCGGACCCCCTCCAACACGGCCTTCCGCCGCACCGACCTTCGGTCGTACCACTTCCAAAACCCCTCCTACGCCCGAGTCATAAAGTACAGCACTCCAATAACATGACGGACACCTCGTGCAAATGCGTGGTCTGTTCATCCGGCCAACTCGGCCACGCATGAGAGTGTGTGCATGTACGCGCGCACGTGCACACACACCATGTATTCGGTGCGTATGGCGTACCTGTTGCGGAGATAATGAAGATGGAATCATTATCATGATGTTACATGTACATGTACAGTGTATGTTTGAGTGTAAAGTAAATTTTATTTTATTACACATTTCTTCGACACAACTTACTCCACATCTTCGCATTTCTCATAATCCATCCATCTACACTCCGTCTCAGTTGAGGAAACTTCTCCCAGGTATACACTAGTCACCACAGCCATGTGATGACATTGGGATGGGCCCCAAGCACGACTGCACTCTCCAGTTACAATATAATTTATTTGTCCAGATTATCTGTGAAGACAAAATGCAATGCATAGCGGCAATCGATGGATGAAGAGAGAGTTTGTAAATACACATATCTTTCCACTTGTTCAGGAGCTTACCTTTTGGAGTTCACATCGTTTACACGATCTCTTATGCTGTCTTGCACCTTGGCTTTGTTGACCATGGATACGCCATCCCAGAAGACATTCTACAGGAGCTACTAATGCAGAGCGTTTTTCACGCTCGATCTCGGCGATCTACCTCGTCACGCCTATAAAATCCTCCGTGACACTGGCTACAGTCACAAGAGATGTCTCAGTAAGGTAATAAAGCACGACAACGCCGTCGAGATCAAGGACAAAGAGAAAACAAAACACTCACTGAAAACAGCAAAGAAGAAACGAAGAAATGTACACGATTCCTATATGTTGCCACTGACAACTGGTTCGGTGGAGACGACGCTACTTTTGTTTGTCCCCAGTGGGATCGTTGCTATGCGTATCGAAGGAACTGTGACGTCATCACTTAACAGCCCCATAGTTCTGACAAAGACGTCCTCACCATGAGCGATTCCGACGTATCAGACGAGCTTGAAAGCTCAGAGCCTGAGCTGAAAATGTTTGGCTTCGGGCATGAGCCGAAATTTTCAGGAAAGGACATGGCGGTGGCTTCCATTCGGACTCTAAATGTGGATGAAGCAGAAATTACTGCAATTGGAGAAGTCGCTCTCCATCAGCAACATCTGGCAACCGGTTGGCTGGGCTATTTCGAAATGAAGCGGCAGCCAAAGCAGCTCAGACAAGCCTGACAATCCGTAAGTGTTTCACAGTATAGTCCTACGTAATGCTCACAAATCGAATCGTTCTCTTCATATCGAAAATTGTGTGAAATTTTGTATTCGCACAGTACTCAGATCAATAGTCTCCTCACTCGTACTCCTGTACATGGAGTTTGCTGCGTAACATGGCTAGTATTATCTCCGTGCCAGTCGTGCAATGTGTATCGGTTCACTTGTGCTTTATCTCACACAAGTGGCCTGCACCTCAATTCGTATTGTGGCGAAATTCATTCTCACCTTTTGCATTATCACTTAGTCTTTACAGAATGCTGAGACGTTCTCTTGTATTTCACGTAGCTGTGCACCAACAATTACGCTGTGCACTCTAGCAGCAGCAGCACAGTAGCATATTGAGTGCGTTTTGCCCTACTGTGGTGTCTCATGACTGCATTACCGGAACAGCTGTCCTTCTTGATTATCATTCTAAAATGTGTGCACATATCCGCCTGCGCCCCACACGCACGCACGTGTGCTCACCTTGGTCGGCACATAGTATAGTAGTCACACATGCTCACGCACGCAGACACGCAATTTCACAAGCGCGTGCGCACACGACTGCATAAGCATACAAGTGCCTGTGCACATGCTCGTGCACGCACACATGCGCGCACTCATGCACTTGGTTGCACACGCACACATTCCTCAGGATCACTAACGGCAATGCATCTACTACTTGTCATTCCATGTCCCTCCCGTAAGGGGGAGAGAATGACATAAAGGAGAACACAGAATAGATGACATGAATATCTTTGGAATGTTATATTACATTACACAAAAGCACACGCATGTGCGCGCACACACACACACTCACGCAAGTGCGCGCACACACACTCAGTGTCACGTGCGTGCGCGCGCACACACTCACGCGCGTGCACCCCCACACACAATAATAATAATGTCTGTCTCTCACGCGCGTGCGCGCAAACACACACACTCACGCGTGTGCACCCACACACACAATAATAATAATGTCTGTCTCTTACGCGCGTGCACGCAAACACACTCACGGGCGCGCCCACGCACACTCTCACGCGCGGGCGCGCACACACTCACGCGCGTGCGCGCACACACTCACGCGCGTGCGCGCACACACTCACGCGCGTGCGCGCAAACACTCACGCGCGTGCGCGCACACACACATTCGCGCGCTTGCACGCATACACACACACTCACGCGCTTGCACGCATACACACAATAATAATAATGTCTGGCTCTCATCTGCATCCATACTGAGAAAACCCAACGAGTTCCCGAATAGGTGTACACTGTTGCTGGTATGTGGACTATCTTCTCTCCTTGAACTGCGGGTCATTGCGTGATGTAGCTTATCAGCAGTACATACTGTGTGTTTATACAGGAAAAAAACATGCCAGCTAGAGGCGCTGGCGCTGTAAACAGTCCTTCATATAACCTTGGGGCGGTGGCAGTGGTCGTAGCTCAACAGTGAGTCACTGCGACCGATGGTACAGCCGCTCTTGATCTTCTTCCTGTAAAATCAAGAACAGCAATCGCAGACAGGTTCATCGATCGCACGCAATAGCCTAGGGAAACAGGAGATCTACTGCCGTCCACCTCATTAAGCCGGTTTCGGAAAGCTTCACATTTCGTACTGATGTAGTCCAAAACAATTCTACAAATGCTTTGGAAAAGAAAGAACTACATACAGTAGCTAGTGTTTTTGAAATATTGCACTCACCTCCGCTTTTCGACTGACGCTTCACAGTGTGGCGTGCGAAAAAGGACACACCACAGTTTCATCCACCAGCGTCCGCATCGGATGAGTGCATAATATTCCTCCTGAAAATCCTCCTCTGCCAAATGGCTGGAACACACGCGAAGGATTTACATTGTAGTCCCGAAATTGTCAAGCAAATAATTATGCCGCTTGATAGCTGCTATGGTGCACTGCTCGGCCTGTGCGAGGCACAAGCCTTCGGAAATTGGTGCAGGTTCATCCCAGGGGGGTTACCAGTAAGATTATAGTAGCCAACAACACAGCCAGAAGCCATGATGACACAAATACCCTCTTCTTCCATGGACAAACAGAAAGAAGATGCGAAATCCCAGTGTTTCTGGATCTGGCCAAAGGATCACCAAGTCTCAATGACGTCACGGCACGGACCCGAAAAGGACAATTGCAAACTGATATATCTCAAGAACGCTTGGTCGGATCGAAGTGGGACCTTCACCATTCGACTCAGCGTGCAAAACTCTACGGACCATGAAGTTTTGATTTTTGGGTGTAGTTCCCCTTTAACTGTTGGTCGCAGCACGGTTGGAAAAAATCCTTCTGCTTCCAAGCAGGACTTCAACCTGGTACCTCTCGTATCTCAATCATGGTCTTAGACCAACCCACTTTTCCTGCCTGCTGTGAGTCGCATGCGTATGAGTAAAGGTGACTGTCCTCGGTGCAAAAGTGAGGGTTCTGTGGAGGGTACAGTATGGTATTAGATTTGACCTTGCGAATTTGTTTTGTTCAAAAATGTTGAAGTTGGAAGAAAAAAGAGTTACAAAGGAAGAACAATTATTGAAATAATCTACTTGGAGATAATAATTTTAATATAGCTATGAATAGGATGAAGGCCGCAGACATCATCGATTCTGGGTTTTCAATAATATTTTTGTTATAAAATACACAGTAATAAATGTCAAACAAATAACGTAGTTGCGTGATGTCTGCGGCCTTCATCCTATTCATAGCTATATTAACAATTATCGAGGATAGCAATAGCCACTGTTTTTATGAGTATCAAGAAGACATCCGGGAGCGATCATAGAATACAAGACTGATGTTAGGAGAAGTCTAGTACAGAGAGGGTCAAAACCGGGTCTAAGTGTAACCGGCTACTGCGGGTTTAGGAAAAGAATCATCTTTATTCGTACTGCACAGGGTTATATATGATGTAAAGGTGTCAACTAGATAGGCGGGATGGTAGGTGATAGGCCGAAGGGCCGTGGATAGAGGGGATAGGAGTGTGAACAGCAGGTAACACTGTTACACCATCCCACTCCCCTAAAGGAAGCATTGGGTTCTACGAGCAACTCAAGTAGGTAAATCTGCATGTGGATAAGCGGAATAAGTCGAGAACCCAACAGTCAAATCGCGAGGAAAATTACACAGAATGCAGTGCAATGGAATTCCAGAAGTTAACTCAGCTGCAATATCAGTGAAGATTCCTTGAATTTGAATAACGTCTTAAAAACACAATGTCTCTGTCAGACTCATCGCGCAAATTAGTTGCGGGTTCCCATGTAGCTTCGTCGACAGGATAGCCCTGCCAATGGACCAGGTCCTCTCGCTGCCCCTACGTTCTCGGTGATCAAGAATTTCTTCGACCATGAACCGTGTGTTTCCATCGAGGTCAGTGAATGATGGTGGTGGAGGTTGCTCTCTGCCAGGAATAGCGTTTTCCTCATACCGCCGCAAGGCAGTAATGTTGAAGACGGGATGGCAACGAATCGTGCGAGGAAGCTCCAAACGATATGCGTTTGAGCTAATCTTTGCCTGCACGCGGTAGGGCCCAAACCACCTTGGCCGCAGCTTCCGGGACGGTTGAAGACGGGCCTCTGGCGTTAGCAAGAAGTCCTTATAAACAAGCTCCATATCACCAACCTTTAACTGGCTGGGAACCCTTCCACGGTCTGCGTACAGCGCCTGGCGTGCTTGAGCGGCCACTGAGGCATCACGGGCAATGTCTAATGCATCACGTTGTTGCTCAGTGATGCTCGATGGACTGGGCCACGTCCGGACAGCGTTCACCTTCTTCGGGTCAGGTGAAATATGAGAGCCGTTGATGTAATGCCCCAAGAACAGAACTTCCGAAGCGCCGAATTCGCACTTCGATAACTTGCAGAGCAGTTGGTTCTTCCTGAGCACGTCCAGCACCGTCCGCACATGGCTTAGATGCTCTGACCACGATCTGCTGAATATGAGAATGTCATCCAGAAACACAACTACAAAATCTCGTAAGTACGGGCGGAGGATGCTGTTCATCAGAGTCTGAAATGTGGCCGGTGCATTAGTCAGGCCGAAACCCATTACCCGGAATTGATATTGCCCAAACGGTGTATTGATGGCCGTTTTCTCGACATCGTTCTTCTGAATACGGATCTGATTGTACCCTGATCTTAAATCGAGCTTCGTGAAATACGTGAAATACGTGTTCCCCTGGACTGTGTCAAATAGATCATCCACATTGGGCAGGCAAGCCGTATTCTTCACAGTAATTTTGTTAAGATCCCTCCAGTCGCATACCATGCGCAAACTGCCATCTGCCTTTTTTACGAAGAACACGGGTGCGCCATACGGGGACTTACTAGGCTCAACAAAACCCTTTGCGAGTAGTTGCTCCAGTTGCGACTTCAACTCGTCCATTTCAGGCTTGGGGAGACGATAGGCTGGACGTGACGGCGGCGGTGCACCCTCTTCAAGCCGAATCTCATGATCTACGGATCTTTCAGGTGGAAGTGCTTCCGGCAGTTCATCAGGAAAGACATCGGAATACTCACGAAGCAAGTCAGCAACTTCGGGCTTGTTAGAGTTGGGGATACTCAGAGGTGGATCAAGACCGGAGTCATCCTCAGCTGTGACCCATGCTAGGAAACCTTGTTCGCCGTTTCTGAGCGCATGACTAGCCTGACAGCC